GGGAAGGAGACATGTGTAATACTCTTTGTAATACTTTAAGAAATAAAAAAAAGAAAGAAAAAAAGAGGATGTTACACAGCCCACATGGGGGGAGCACCTCAAGTGACCAGCCTGGTTGATCAGAGAGGCTGTGCCACTGGATTCTACAGAACACCTACTACATCAGGCTACTCTACCAAGCCTGGGAGATGTAGCAGCTCTATTTAATACATATAAACAAACACAGTGAGGCTGCCAAAATGAGGAGACAAAGAAACATGTCCCAAATAAAAGAACAGAACAAAACTTCAGAAAAATAACTAAACAAAATAGAGACAAGTAATCTACTAGATGCAGAGTTCAAAACACTGGTTATAAGAATGCTCAATTAACTTCATGAGAACTTCAAAAGCATAAAAAAGAACAAATCAGAAATGAAGGATACACTAACTGAAATGAAGGGTAATTTACAGAGACTCAACAATCCAAAAAAAATGAGGATAGTGTACAAAGCCTCTGGGACAACTTCAAGCATTCCAACATTCACACCATCGGGTGTCGGAAGGAGAAGAGAGAGAGCAAGAAATTGAAAACCTATTTGAAAAAATAATGACAGAAAGCTTCCCTAACCTGGTTAAGGGAACAGAATAAGATGAAGCCAAAGATGTCTACACCAAGACACATCATAATTAAAATGCAAAAGGTTAAAGACAAAAAGAGAATTTTAAAAGCAGCAAGAGAAAAACAGTTAGTTACCTATAAGGGAGCTTCCATAAGACTGTCAGTTGATTTCTTTTTTTTTTTTTTGTCAGTTGATTTCTTAACACAAACTTTGCAGGCCAGAAGATATTGGCAAGAAATATTCAAAGTGATGAAAAATAAGGACCTACAACCAAGACTACTCTACCTAGCAAAGCTATCAGTTAGAATTGAAAGACAGATAAGGAGCTTCCCAGACAAGAAAAAGCTAAAGGAGTTCATTATCACCAAATCAGTATTACAAGAAATGTTAAAGGGTCTTCTTGAAGAATAAGAATAAGAATAGGAGGAAGAAGAAGGAGAAGCAGAAGGAGAAGGAGAAGGAGAAGGAATGAAAAAAGATAAGCAATAAAATGGCAATAAATACATATTTATCAATTGAATCTAAAAAAACAACAACAACAACAAAATAAAGGAATAAGCAAAACAGAAACAGACTCAATAGATACAGAGAACATTTTGGGAACAGGTGGGAGTGGGGTTGGGGGATGAGTGAAAAAGGTGAAGGGATTAATAAGTACAAATTGGTAGTTACAGAATAGTCATGGTGGTGTAAAGTGCAGCATAGGGAATCTACACTAATAAAAGGGAAACATGCAAATTGGTGTCACTCCACTACGCCCACCAGCCAATCAGAGAGACTATGCAAATTAACCAAACAAAGATGGTGGTTAATTTGCATATGCAGGCGCATAGCGAAGACTCAAGGCTCCGGCCAGAGTGAAGACTGAAGACTGAAGACAGACTGAAGACTGAAGAGACTTGGTTTCTCTGCTGCAGCTGGACCAAAGGCTTGGGTCCCGGGTGCCGGAGGAAAACTGGTGCCAGCAGCCAGGGGAAGGAAGGCCTATTGTGCGAATCTTCGTGCAACAGGCTTCTAGTGTAGTCAATAATATTCTATTAACAATGTATGGTATCAGATGGGTGCAAGATATATCGGGATGATCACTTAGTAAATTATGTAATGCCAACATAAGAAGTGTCCAAACCCGCTTGGGTCCCGGCTGCCAGAGGAAAACTGGTGCCAGCAGCCAGGGGAAGGAAGGCCTATTGTGCGAATCTTCGTGCAACAGGCTTCTAGTGTAGTCAATAATATTCTATTAACAATGTATGGTATCAGATGGGTGCAAGATATATCGGGATGATCACTTAGTAAATTATGTAATGCCAACATAAGAAGTGTCCAAACCTGTAAAAATTTTTATGAGTTTATTTGAGCCAAAGTGACAACAATTGCTGGGAAGCAAAATCTCAATGGATTGAGAAAATGCTCCAGAGAATGACAGTTTTGCATCCTATTGTATACATTACAATCAAAAGAGGAGGCATAAGGAGGGATTTATAAAATTCATTGGTGATAGATTAGGGAGGCAGGAGAACGCAAAGTGGGGAAATCTACGGGACTGGATAAAAAAGTTAAATGAAGAGGCACATACTTCTTTTACATTGGTGGGTAGAGGACAGTTAATAATTAACATTTGTAGCACATAGAGTGGTATGCGGGGAACAAGATAACAATGAGGGAACAAGATACCTTGACCTTGGGCTCTGGTGGGAGATTGTGCCTTGAGGAGTCTGGGAAAAAAAGGATTACTCAGACATTCCAAAGGTATGTTATCTTAGATGCAAAAAAGACAATAGACAGGCTCATTTAAGGTAAAGATCGCCTTTTTGTCAAGGAATATACGGGCCTAGGACTTGACAACTCTCCACAGCTCGCTTTCAGATAAGAAGTTTTAATTTCAGACCATAGAGCCAGTAGAAGGTAATGGTAAAGATATAGATGACCTGGGTTTAAGTCCAGGCTCCCTTACCTTGTGCAAGAGAGTAACCTCTCTGTGAGTCAGTTGCCTTCACTGGTGAAATGGAAATGATAAGAATGACTGTCCAAGGGTTTTTGTGAGGATTTAATGAATTGGTGCAGGCAAAGTATTTGAAGATGAACACATAGGTGTATCTGAAGATGAACACATGCTATATGCTTATTTTGAAAGCCCTATAAACCACACTGATGAGAATGGTGTTGCAACTTTATTCTGAGGGCAGTTGGGACCTATGATCAGATTTAGGTTATATAAGATCTTAAAAGGATCACCCAGGTTGTAGAGAAGAGGGTGAGCTGGAGGGGAAGAGACTTGAGGCAGAGGGTCCAATGAGGAGGCTGTTGAGAAAACTGAGAAACACAGAAGGTTCTAGGCAGGAAGGAGGCTGTGGAGTCAGAGGTGGGAGATATGAAGGAGGCAAGAACACCTATTGGCAGTATGTATTGCTAAGGGAGTGGTCAGTGGGGTCCTCCTGCCTCCGTGGGGGGATGACTCAGCAAGCGCGTGGATCGAGGCTCTGCCACTTACTAGCTGTGTGTCCTTGGGCAAACAGTGCTCTCTCTCTGTCCCTCAGGGTCTCGACTGGGGCTGAGGAATAAGGGAAGCCAACTTTGCCTTCCTGAGTGCCTGCTATGTTCTAGGGCCTTGTCATAGAGTCCTGAGGGGCTAGTGCCCAGCTTTCCATCATTCCCTGAAGGACCCAGCTCAGAGCAGGTGGGGGGCCTGTCTGTGGTCATCCTACATGACTGACTAATGATTGACTTCTAGTCCTTTCCTCTCTGAGGACACCTAGGCCATGGCAGGGGAAGGGGCCCGCCCTGGGTTATCCAGTTGAGCCATAGTGTGGCCAAGGCTGGGTCCCAGCTTTCCTGCCAGTCATGCTAGACTCTTGTCCTTTCCCAAGGTCAGATAAGAAGGATGGGAGGACTAAATAAGAGGGAAATGTGGGATGTTGGATTGCTCCCCTGAAGGCAAATCACACAGAGCTAAAACTTATTCCCATAACCCCTGAGTCTCAAGATATGCATGTAATGTCACTCCCACTCCAATTGTGCCCCTTCTGAATAGCAACACTAGGGGTCAGACTCTCCTCTGTGCCAAGCCCTGGGCTGGGCATTGGGGAGGCAGAGACAGAGGGAATATCTGTTTCCTGTAGGTCTTTCATGCCAACCTGGAGACAGACCAATAAATGTTTTTAATGCTAAGGGATAGATATGTACTGAGCACATGTACATGTGTACAATGGAGTGTATGGGGAGTGATGTGGAGTGTGTGGCAGTGGGCCTGAATGGATCAGTCTTTGATATCTGTCCTTCCCACCTCATTTCCACAGGAGCCAGGCCTGGACCCCAAGCCCATCCTGGAGTTGCCCCTCGTGGAGCTGGCTCAGAAGCTGCAGGCGGAAGAGCTGAGTCTGGAGAGTGTCCTCTGTAGCTACTTAGAGGAGGTGGGGGTTAGGGGTCAGGGTCAGGACTTAAACCTGCCTCTGGGCTGGAGTGGGGATGGAGGGAGGGGCTGTGGTGACTGAATGTCCTGTCCCTGGCCTCACTGTGAGCCCTTATCTGGTTTCCCTCAATGTTGCTCAGGCGCTGAAGGTGCACCAGGAGGTGAACTGCCTGACAGATTTCCTGGAAGAATGTGAGGAACAACTGCAGGCATTGAAGAAGCTCAAGAAGAGTGAGAGAGGCCTTCTCTATGGGGTCCCCATGAGTCTCAAGGACCCCTATGACTGCATGGTGAGTCCTGGGGTGTATATTCTCAGGTGTACATGTATGTGTGGGTGCACACATGCCACTGAGCCTGTGAATATCTGAGTGTGTGACATGGGCAAGTTACTTAGTCCAGGATGCACAGCTAGAAAGTGGCCAATGGAGACTGAACCCAGCAGCTGGGTTCAAACCGAAGCCCAAACTCTTAACCACCATGTTCTTCTGCCACCTGTGAATCCACCTAAGGTGCTGCACTGTCTCAGAGGGTGTGAGAGTGGATGTGGGTGGGGGT